ACATTGGAAAGAGACAATATGAATGAATGCGCCCGAGCGCCTCACTTTGAAACCTGAGCTGCATTTGGAAAGTAAGTTTCTTGAAATGAGAGGCTAGTGGAGAACTAGGATTTTATGGATGAGCATAAAGATGTACAGCAGTGCCCATTTCAGCCTGTAATTTCACGCAGAATATAACGTCCCATTTGCGGCTCGAAGGCTCCTGAACTTCTTTGCAGGCCTTCTTTCCCCCGACAAGGGTACCCGTGCTGCGCTTCTGCTGCCATCACAGAAAGACAACTGAGCTAGCGACAGCCAGAGATGGTGACATTACCAAATTAATAATGGTACTAAGGGAGCATCCAATATTAGTACTTACAGGTGACAGGCTCCATTTAAAGCCCTTTCCTTTTACAAACTCATTTGTTCCTCTTGATAACCATAGGGAAGAAGGTATTATCTCCGCTTTACAGATAAAGTCAGAGAAAAGTAACTCACTTGCCCAAGGTCACACCTCTAATTGTAAGGTGGGGCAGGATTTGAACCCAGCACTCTTAAGGAGTTGACCATACTTCCCACACTCAAGCTTTCCGACTTTACTGCACTGTTTGTGATTCAGTAGCTTTTTCAGGGTGCCCTCAGGCCAAAGGAAGTAACTACTACAAGCTCCATTTACTAAGTACAACAGATTCTTGAACAACACAGGTTTGAACCGCATGAGTCCACTTACACGTGGATTTTTTAAAATATAGTAAAAGCATTTTCTCTTCCTTGTAATCTTAATAACATTCTTTTTTTCTAGCAGACTTTATTGTGAGAATACAGTGTATAATACATACGATATACAAAATATGTGATAGTCGACTGTTTATGTTATGAGTAAGGTTTCCAGGCAACGGTAGCTAATAAGTAGTTAGGTTTTGGGGGAGTCAAAAGTTATACACATATTTCTGACTGAACAAGGAAATTGGCTTCCCTAACCCCCACATTGTTCAAGGGTCAGCTCTAGTTAGGTCCAAACAAGTTAATAACAGTAGTTAAGTAGCATCTGGCAGATGTAGCTGTTTTTGTTGTTGTTTTCCAAAATTTTATAATATCCTATGGCACCCTCGTGACTATCCTGTGGTACCCCAGGGCACCTCAACACAGTTTGGAATCCACAGAACTATACTTTCCTGTCTTCCTCCTCCTGATGAGGCAAAGGCATCAGGGTGCAACAATCACGGTCTGTTCCTCAAAGTGCATGAGTCACTTGAATGTGAAAGAAAAAAAAAATTCTGCTAACAACTCCCTTTTGGCCATTAATAATGTCTGAGATCCTGAACCCTCACAGGCTTTTCTACCCAGCCCAAGTACACTTCTTCCAACTTCATCACCTCCCATTCCCATCGCTACGGTAAACCAAGCATTCAAGAACAAACTACTGAGGTCCTTTTGCCCTCCTCAGGCACTTCACCTGCCGCACGCCCTCTCTTCTCGCCCTGTTCTCCAGCCATTACCTGCTCCCAGTTCCTGGGTGACATAATTCCTCTTCTGAGAAAGCTGCCCCAACCCAAAAACTTGGTTCATCCTTCCTCTGGGTTTACAGCCCACTTTGTACACAAACTTCTTCGGGCTCCATTCCAGTTCTTTCATTCTTGGCCGCCTTCCTGTCCATCTTCTCCACCCCTTTGGTTACGAACTTCTGTAAGGCGAGGCTGGTATCTTATTCATCTTGTTGGCTCCCTCAGAGACTATGCACAGTAAAAGTACAGTCTTTCCTGAGTTTTAATTAATATGGAATGCAACAAGAGAATAAAGGATTGTTTAAGGGTTCACAAGAAGGATTATGCAATGAATGAATAAAAGAATGAGTGGGATAGATTGGCTGCATCGATGGCCCCTATTAATGGTCTCCTGTATCCATGCCCCCTGCAATGAGATTCTGCAGCAACTCCCATCAAGAAGAATCTCTATCCTTACTCTGGATCCCAACTAGTCTCACACCTTGCTCTGGCTGATAAAATGCAGATGTCACAGTAGGCCAGTTCCGAACCAGGACCTTCAAAAGCATTCATTGCTTTTTGCTTACACTCTTAGGACCAGATAAATAACCTGGGCTAGCCTGCTGCAAGAAGGCAGGCTTATATGTGGAAGTTAAGGAACAGAAAGGACAAACTAATCAAAAACAGACTCACAAATACAGAGGACAATCTGGTGACGACAGCCAGAGGGGAGGCGGGTTGGGAAGCTGGGAGGAAGGGGTGAAGGGTTGAACAAGTACCAATTAGTAGTTGATTGATGGTCACGGGGATAGGGAGCATGGCATAGAGAATGCAGTCAGCAAAAATGCAATGGCTGTGTGCAGAGCCAGAGAGAAGATAGAGTAATCAGGGGGATTGTTTCATAAATTATATAAATGTCTAACCAATGTACTATATACTTGAATCTAAATAAAATTTTAACAGAAAAGAAGGCAGACCTTGAGGAAGGGAGCCTAGCTGTCATCGTCGGAGACCAGACTCAGCCTGCCAACCCCCAAAACATGTAAGAAAGCCCAGCAGGCTGACCCCCAGGTTACATAAGTGAACACGTGTGAGAACCAAAGAACCACCCAACTGACCTGTAGTCCCTTAAATACCAATAAAAACTTACAGTTTCAAGCCGCTAAGTGTTGAGGTAGCTTGTCATGCAGTGGCAATAGCAAACTGACGATGAATGAACAGTCTGACTTATGGCAGTGAAGTCCACAGAAGGCAGGGGCTGAGTTTTCTTCTGCACCATACTGAGAGCCACAGTTCCTTAGCACAGTGTGGCATCATGTTAGGAAGTATATCATGATCTGCTGTAAGGTATCTGAACAAAGTACTTCTGAATTTTACAATGGATTTATTTGCAGTTAGTGTTGACTCACAGTCACCACCATCTATATCACCACCACTGTGCATTTTGATAATGAGCTTCCTTTGAGGAGGAAAGGAAGTGGAAGAGTAAGACCAAGAACCCATTTTCTATTATACATTCTGGTAACCAATAATGATAGTAACAGGAAGCATTTACTGATACCTATCTTATCTACCCTCTATGGCAGGGGTCCCCAATCCCTGGACCACACACCGGTAGCAGTCCAGGGCCTGTTAGGAACCATGCTACACAGCAGGTAAGCTGTGGGTGAGCAAGCTAAGCTTCATCTATATTTGCAGCCGCTCCTCAGCGCTAGCATCACCGCCTCAGCTCCACCTCAGATCATCGAGCATCAGATTCTCATAGAAGCGCAAACCCTATTGTGACCTGCGCATGTGAGGGATCGGAAATGACGGTGGCCTTAAAAGTATGTTTGAGACGACTTCAAATCTCCCTATGTTCTGTATTAAAGTCAAAGCGGAATATCCTGAGATTGCCACAAAAGCAGCTGAAAGCCTGCTTCCATTTCCAACATCCTATCTTTGTGAATCAGAGTTTTCTGCAGCGACAGCAACCAAAACGAGATTACAGAGTAGACTGGACATAAGCAACACGCTTCGGGTGTCAATGTCTCTCATCGTTCCCAGATGGGACCGTCTAGTTGCAAGAAAACAAGCTCAGGGCTCCCACTGATTCTGCATTATGGTGAGCTGTATAATTACTTCATTATACATTACATTGTAATAATAATAGAAACAAATTACAAAATAAATGTAATGCACTGGAATCATCCCGAAACCATCCCTCCCCTGCACCCCAACCCCGGTCCATGGAAAAATTGTCTTCCACAAAACCAATCCCTAGCGCCAAAAAGGTTGGGGACCGCTGGTCTATGGACATCACCTTCCTGTAAGCCAGCTCTCAATGACTCTAAACGGCAATTTCTGGAAATGATGTCAAATCCTTTGGGGAAAGGGCAAGGCGTAAAACATTTTTCAAAATTATAATCCATTTTTTTCCCTTAAATTCTTCATGTTTTCCCCCTTCAGTCAACGAAATACTTAATTTTGTGCTCAGCACTGAGGATACAAAAGACATGGCTTCTGCCCTCAGGGAACTCAGTCTGGCAAGCTAAAACGCCCTCTTCTCAGCAAGAGGCTAGATAAGAGCCGGCCTTATTCTTTCTGACTATAAAAGTCAGAAATCCACAGCAGGTATCGAGCCCCAGGGCTTGCCTTCCAAAAGGAAAAAGTCCTAGTAACCGAACCTGCTTTGTTTGGCACAGTGGTGTCATGGGAAGGCCCTAAACGCAACCATATTTCTTAAGTTCTTTAACTAATGTCCTTGCTGAGGGTAACTGCTCCATTGGTGGCCGAAGCAGTGTCTTTCTATGCTATATTTCCTCTTGAGGGTGGCTTTCGTTTTAGTTTTCAGCTACCCACACCTACCTCCCCTTACACTCTCCCAGGTAACTAATCTAAAAATTATCAAGCCCTGCAAGACTCTTTCACATATACAAAATGAAGACTCAAATGAGATTGAATGAGATAAAAGACCAGACCTGCACTCTTATCAGTGCTCAAAAAAGACTTCTTTCTTTCCTTTCAGCTACAAAAACACACTTGCTACACTACAGAACACACACATCCACACACATGCATAAGCACACACACACACTCTCCTTCAGGCCACTCTCATCCCCTTCTGCCCAATATAATGGCACATCTGTAATAACAGTATTAGCATAAAGTCCTAAAAGTCATATCCCCGAAACATAGACATACATTCAACTTTTATCCAACACTGTGATGGGTATAATAGAGAATGGGTCCCTCAGGATCCTACCAACCTCTGGGGACTTTTCCTAGAAGGGATACTAACAACCTACCTTACACAATCCACAGGGTGGCTAATGAGAAAACAAGCCATCGGAGTCCTAGGAAGCAGCATCTTGTCATCCTACTAAAGTCCGTCCTTTGCAAAGTCCATAGTGGCTTCATTTTCTGGCAACGGCAACCCTATGCTAAGCAAGACTCCCATCATATACAGACTAGGGCTCCAATCTATTCAGCTGGTCTTCACCTGTGGACCACAGGAATCACACGTCAGGCTCTAGAGACCTCACCCCACCTCATGTCCCTCATTCACTGAGCACCTGACATGGGCCCTAGAAGAGCAGAAATGGCAAAAGTAGCAGCATAAACAAGGATGCCAAATCTGTCTTCATTAATCACCTTCCCATGCTGGGTGTGAACTCTCAGGAAAATAGCTGGAGAATGAATCATATCACCAGCTTCCACTTACATAAGAACTGGGTCTCTCTCGCATGCTTCATACACCAGCACTATTTCCTAGTCAAGCTTAAATTTTCCTTCAGGATCTTCAGAGTAAATTTTTCAGATCATGAAATTGCCCTGACCCAGAGAAAAACCTGGATTCCACCCTAAGAAGTAACACTATGGTTGTGCTTTTGGCTGACAAGTGGTTCGGAGCTACTTCTTCATTTTTCTTCTTTGCAATCCCTCTATCCTGGCAGGGTACTTACTGGACTGCCACAGGGGAATGCCCCACTCCAAACCTGAAAATCAGTTTGGTCTCACGGGGCCTCCATGTGAACAAGCTTCAGACTTATCCGTCTTTCACCTGCCAACTCCCCTATATAGAACTATAAATGTCCAGGTTTGCTGCTAATACATTCAGCTAGACCAAATTAAGCTGGCTTAATTTGGACCTTGTTCTTATTTCTGCTGATCTCACTGCAAAAACCAAACATACGGCGAGAACAGAATGTTATGTAGTGTAAGACAGCAACTCCATAAGCTCCTCTCTTGCAGAACAGCTGAAAGATGAGTCTGTTAGAACACATCAGTCTCTTTGAAAACTTAAAATAATAATGCCTTTCTAAGGTCACTATCTGAAAACAGTGAAGATAAAAAAAGTCTATGATAAGCACATAACCAAGTATTTCAGAATCAAATATAAAGAGTGAGAAATCACAACAAATACCATCACATACCCACCAGAATGGCTAAGGTAAAAAGAAGGGGAAATACTAAGTGTACTGAGAATGTGAGGGAGAGAAGCTCTCACACACTGGTAAAGCTCTCACACATTGGTATGGTAACTTAGGAAAAGTGGCAGTATCTCAAAGCTGAACATACATAGCCCATAGGACTCAGAAATTCCACTTCTGAGTATAAACTCAACTGTAATATGGACCCATGTTCATCAAGAGCCATATTCTAGAACGTTTTCAAACACACTATTCATAATAGCCAAAGACTGAAAACCCAAATGCCCATCTATGGTAGAACAGACCAATAAACTGTGGCACATTCACACAGTGGAATACTCTACAGCAGGGATCCCCAACCTCCAGACGGCAAAAAGTACCGGTCAGTGGCCTGTTAGGAACCAGCCGCACTGAAGGTAAGTGGGGTCAAGTGAGCAAAACTTCATCTGTATTTGCAGCCGCTCTCCAGCACTAGCACCACCGCCTCAGCTCCACCTCAGATCATCGGGCATTAGATTCTCATAGGAGCACCAGTCCCTGGTGCCAAAAAGGTTGGGGACCACTGCTCTACAGCAATGAGAATGAATGGCATACAACTAACTACACACACGCAATGTGGATGAATTTCACAAGCATGATATTGGCCAAAAGAAGCGAAAACACAAACTAGTACATACTGCATGAGTTCATTTATACAGAGTACACAGAAACAGACCAAAGTAATCTGTGCTGTTAAAGATCAGGACAGTGGCTACAGGCAGCATGGGTGGCAGAGGCAGCGCAGGAAGCTACCAGAAGGGAGGATGAGGGGGTTTCTGATGCGCTTGGCAATGTTCTGTTTATTTGGGTTGTCAAGTGAGTATGTGCACTTTGTGAAAATTCATCAAGCTGTGCATTTGTCAAATGTGTACTTTTCTGCATGTATATTATTACACGTCAATAAAAAAAATTTAAAAATAAAATCAAGGGTCTTGGTTTCCTTGTTAAGTCACAGCTTGCATCAGTGACTATCAAAATGTTGTTTGGCTGTAAGATGGATCTAAGGTTCCGGATGATGACTTCTTTCGAAAAGGTTGCCAGTTAGCTTAGGCACTAGGGGTTGTATGCCTGGGGAACATTCTTTCACCCATTGCCTAACCTCACTAAAAAGATTAAACAAAATGTTGGCTCAGGTTTCCTCACAACTCTAGTTCTTAAAGATTCTAAGCTCACTCTCCTCCTTTATTTCCTTCATTCTTGGCCTTCATGATACGGATCAGAATCATAGGAAGAAGTTGGCAGGATTAGGTTTAGGGCCCAAATGGGACCTGAGAGAACATCTGACTCTGACCCTCTTCATTTTAAAATGCAAGATTTTAACATAGAGATGCCTAAGTCTCACTATCTGGATGTTTTAATGTCTCCAAAGCCAGCCCCAATAGCTGGTTAGACAAAATGGCACTTTGCCACCTTGCCACCTATTTATTCACATGCAATTTTTGGCCCAATAGCTTAATTTGCTGTCAGGCCTGTCACTTGGTTGCTTTTCTTTCCTCTAGAAAATGAGGTAAAGGGGTATGCAAAGTGATACATTTACCCAAGTAAGCAACTCTGGAACTCTGGAGCAACTCTGGAAATAAAATGCAAATATTCAAAAGGCCTGTCCACACAGGGCTCTTCCAAAGAGCAAAACAGTATCTCAATGTCAAGAAGAAGATAAGTCCAACATTGCGCATGCATGGACTTCAGCAAATCAATGTTCTCCGCCAAGTAGAGCTCAGCATTCAAGCTGGTTCATTTACCACCAAGACTCAAGAGACATGCAAGTCTCAAGATCTCATCGACATTTCCTCACTCCCTGGAAATTACAGTTTGGTATATCACAAATGAATAAAAGGAGTATTTCTGGAGTAGACAGTGTAGCAGAGGGGAACAGAACACAAGCATTGAGGAAACCCATCTTCCCATGATTTTCCATGTAAAACTCGGTCCTTAATTTTTGAGGATGTTGGAGAGGCTCCAAATTTCCAGAGAACTCTGATCTTACATTCTCTCATAGCTGGGGAAGAAGAGACCCAGGAATTCGGTTAATCATTTTAAGTAGTTTTTATGTTGTAAAAAGAAGTCCCATACACAGCCCTTCTGACCCCAGCAAAGACCAGAGAGAAAGAGGAGGATAAGTGACTGCTGCTGGCAGCACGGAGTAGCAGGACAGGTCTTGGTCTCTCCATGTACATGGACTCAATGCTGATGGCACAGAGACCACCAGGAAACCTGCTCTCAGGACGCCTGGAGAAGATAACACTGAGCACAACAATGGGGTC